CTCGATCCCGGGACTCCAGGATCACGACCTGAGCCGAAGGCAGTCGCTTAACCAACTGAGCCACCCAGGCGCCCCAAGTAATTTTAATCTTGTGTCATCGGTGCTTCTCTAGGAAAAAATGGTCAGAAATTTTATATTTTTCAGATACTACCCTTATTCCAAAGTAGTATCTAAGGAAGACAAATTGTCTTCTGTTCTCCATAGGTGCATTATTAAGTTTTAAAGTGCTATTACCTGAAATCTGAAGATTACTACTGCCTTTGGAGCTTTTTCAGAACACAAATCCTAGTGTCATTTCATGCCAAGTTTGTCTAAGTATTGAATGCTGACCCCTGTGTTCACTGACCTTTCAGCTAGCAAACATGTGTAAGTGCATTCCTTACTCAGAGAAGTTGATTCGGTTTTAGGTACAGGATGAAATTTGTAATTTCTGTAGGGACCAAATTTCCAAGTTTCTTGGAACTTTTTTTTCTGGTTTCTTGGAGGCTAGACCTCTCCTAAGGTTAAGGCTGTGTGTTATTTAGTGTGTGTGTGTTTCTTTTTTTCTTTTCTTTCTTTTTTTTTTGGCCCATGTGGTTGCAATTACCCCTCAGTTTCCCTGGACCTTACTGATTTTACTACCATTTAGATTTCACAAAGGTTTCATCTATCAGGGTGAGCAGGCAAATTTGAGTCTTTCTCTTTGTTTATTATCCTATTGGTATGTGAAGTCTGTTGTTCCCATTTTTAGGGGCATAAATCAGAGAAGTGATTTTCCTCCAGGAGATTCTCCCGTTAGTTTTCTCTTTCAACCCTTCACCTTCCAAAAGAAGAAAAGGCCAGGCTAAGAAAGGTGGAGGTGGAAATGATGTTTTTTGATGGCTGGTTTATTTAGGAAAATTGTCATTGGCTTACCAAGTTTTTTCCAAGTTGTAAAATGATGGACAGCCAGGCACCAGGTTATATGGTGCTAACTCTAAAGACCTACTTTGAGTACTTTGTCCTTTACCAGCTGTGTGATTTGGGGGGAAATTTCTTAAATATTTATTTATTTATCTATCTATCTATCAGAGAGAGAGAGAGAGCGCACGCACAAGCGGGGGGAATGGCAAGCAGAGGGAGAAGCAGGCTCCCCACTGAGCAAGGATCCTGATGTGGGACTTGATCCCAGGACTCTGGGATCATGACCTGAATCAAAGGCAGACCCTTAACCGACTGAGCCACCCAGGTGTCCCTTAAACTTTTTTTTAACTTAGGGTACTTGCCTCACTTCTAAAATGGAAATAGAAATATTTTGGTTCTTACAACCTCAGTGTACATTGGTAAAACCTTTTGGACTAAAATAAATGCTCATGTATAAATATGTATACACATACATACAGATAGACATATATGTTTAGATTGTTTTAATGATCTAATACTATCCAGTTTGGGGACTGTTTCATTTGCTTTATATTTTAAGTTTTTCTTTAAATTTTGCATTTTTGAATGAAAGACAAAGATGCTCAATGGAAAAAGTTGCATTCTGAATCCTTTTTTTTTCTATCACCTCTTTTAACTATAACGTTCTTGCCTGGTTACTGGGACATAGCTTCAGCTGTAAGTCCTCTAGAAAACCTAACAACCAGAGAGTAAAATAAATATAAGAAATCTTTTTCGAGGTGCCTGGGTGGCTCAGTCGCTTGAGTATCTGCCTTCAGCTCGAGTTGTGATCTTGGGGTCCTGGGATCGAGCCCCGCATCAGTCTTCTTGCTCAGTCTCCCTTTTCCTCTGCCCCTCCCTCCCACTCGTGTTCTCTCTCTCTCAAATAAATAAATAAAATCTTTATTAAAAAAAAGAATCTTTTCAAATTTGGAAAGAAATAGAAAGAAATTATAGTACATATGATCTATTAAATGCAGAAAAAGTATCTTTGCTTTGAAGGAGATTTTTCTTCAAGGACTTCAAATAAAACATATTGTCCTCTTTACTTGCTAAAGGAAACTTTAGAATATCTCTCCATTAAATTAGGATATAGTGTATTAGGGGCTTGAGTATTTTGAAAGTTGGGACAGGAAACTGAATTGCTTGAAAGTGTGGGGAATTTTTTCTAAGACACTTTGAGTCATGTCTTTGCTCTATTATTGTTTAAGTATAAGGAACTTGACCTCATTTATTTCAGAACTAAAATTGAATGGTTCTGTTTTTATTTAAATAATTACACTTTACTCAAACATAATGGAAATAGATAAGAAATGTCATCCAAGGTGGTATTTCATCTAATGGTGTAATCTACCCAAGACTTAAATTGTTCTAACTGTGCTGGAATTCTGTGTCATCAGTATGCTAATTATTCCTAATACGCATTGTTTTAGTGCTTTGTCATTTTAAATTTCACTGAAATGGAATTACTTAGAATTGGGATGGAGGATGAGAAGAAATGAATATTTTTAAATGTAAACAAATACAAAGCAATTCTGTAATTTTTTTCTCCTTAGGAACCTTGGGTAATGTGGAACATGGAAACCAATATCAGATCAAATTGATGTATGAACATAATCTTCAGAGAACAGCCTGCAATATGACTTATGGATCATTTGGTGGTGTAAAAGGTAATTTGCATTAATCATGAGTATGCTATTACAAGTACCAGATTTAGGATATTTGGCCATATAAAAATGGAGGATCATGGGGTATGAATCTCAGAGGGAGTTAAACACATTTTATTGAGACCTTTATATTCGAGTGGTCAAGCAAAATAATGAAAAGAGAAAACTTTAAATATCAAAAGTGTTTGATTTTCCTATAACCAGCACTTTTATATGGTCTACAGAGATATTTCTAAAAATGTCTTTTCTTTAAATTTTGTCTTTGTACATGAGCTGACTGAAATTGAGCTTTTTTGGGTAGAACTGTGTGACTGCCTCTCTTAGTGGAAGAAGGGGTTGATCTCCTTGATAGGGTGTCCCTGACCTACTTGTGATAGGCCGGGTGAAGCTGTAGAATCCTCTCCCCACCTCGCCCCCCTCCAGGGCCACTGCCCAGGGTTCTGTAGGTTGTTTCTGCTTTAGGGTGCCTGGATTGGGGGCAAGCAGAGACTGAAATGCAGACCTCATCCTGCTCATCAAGGCATGTGCCCTGGCCTGGAATAAACCTCCCCAGAGGAAGGGGGCCTTTTCTAAATTTCACAAAGGCATTACATTTACCAAGTATTGGCTCAGTGAGGCTGGGCTCCTTCCACCTTGGGGAGTATCTTTTTCTAAGTAGCATGGGGCTACGTGCAGCCTGCCCACCCTAATCCCAGAGCTTCCTGCGTTACCAGGGCTTGGTGCTTGCTTGGGTACCCTGTTGCTGTTGGCATGGGAGAGTTTTTTATCTACCACCTACCTCCTCTCACTTCATTGTGATAGGGTGATAGAGGAGCTGCTGGTGCTGGAGTGAGGACAGGAAGCCAGGTAGTGACACTTTACCTTTGTGGTTGTGTGTGTGTGTGTTGGGGTGGGGTGGGGAGGTACCTGTGGAACATGAACTAGGGATTTCACCTCTTTCTGGGCTCATATTTTTATGAGTTTATTGTTTAATCATTGTATTAAAATGTAGACTGCCTATGTTAGATTTTTCTTTAGTGACATGAAAGAAATGACTTTATTTTGGAAGTCATTTGTGTGAATTCAGTTCTTTCATACATAGAGATAAAGGTGAGGAAGAATGAATTTGAGTGTATCAATTAACAGGAATATTTTAGGTGGTAATGTACAAATAAATGTTTTGCATAAAGTGATATGAAACAAAACACTTGGCTAGATTGTGGACTTGCTTAACTTGAGTAATGGGAATGTTTGGATTATTTAAGGAATATGGGAGATGTCCACAGTTGGATGAAGAGAGGAGAGAAAGTGCTAAAATTTGATGAGAGGCTAACTTTTATCAGTGAAGTATCCCTTCCTAACCTTAGCTGTCAGAACTGATTTTCACTGTTCTTTAAAAAAAAAAGTCTGACATGATCAGGGGACCTAGGCCTCTGTTGTTTAATAAACTGTTTTAATTCTTTTCCCCTACTAAATCTTCAAAAGGCAAATTGCTAAATTCTGTGCATCTGGAGTCCAAAAAATTATGATAAGAGAAAAAAATGCTTTGGCTAAATGAAAGTAAGTTTTAATTTTTTTGGTAGAATCAAGACAATTCTTTAGACCACCTATCAAATGTTATATTGATTGCACTGTACTTTTTTTTTTTTTATCAGATCAAGTTAACCCAATTAAAATAAAGTTTTAAATAAGTAAAAAGGGAGGGCGCCTGGGTGGCTCAGTTGGTTAAGCGACTGCCTTCGGCTCAGGTCATGATCCTGGAGTCCCGGGATCGAGTCCCACATCGGGCTCCCTGCTCAGCAGGGAGTCTGCTTCTCCCTCTGACCCTCCTCCCTCTCGTGCTCTCATTCTCTCTCTCGGAAAAAAAAAAAAAAAAGTAAAAAGGGATTCCTTGCTTTTGTGTGACATTTTTGCTAGATTTAATAATGGACTTCCAAAGTAATGATATAGTTGCTAATTGTTTTGAAAAGAGCAGATGACTTTGTACTTATATAATACCTTCTCTTATTTCTTAAATTTTGCCTTACACTTAAAAAGTACCTGTTGAAAAAACAAGAGGCCATTCTGACATGCTTTACTTTCCTTTGGTTAAGCAGAACATTTCACAATTTGAAACAGAAATGTCTGAGTAGCAGGAGTGATTATTTCATTGAAAGGGTTTGAAACACATAATATCACTGTGGTATCTACAAAAAATATGAAAAAATAGTGGGGGTGGTAAATTAGTAAAAATCAGCTTTATTGGCAGATTTCCAGGGGGTAATAGCGAGTTACTACTAATAGGTACATGATTTCTTTTTGGGAGGATGAAAATGTTCTAAAATTAGATTATGGTGATGGTTGTACAGTTCTATAAATACAGGAAATACTTGAGCTGTATACTTTAAAGAGGTGATATATAATATCTCAATACAACTGTCAAAAAAATTAGCCATGGGATAAAATCTGATGCTAGGGAGGCGATAGTAGAGTCTGCATATCCTACATTGCTTGGGGCCATGTAAAGTGACATAATACTCCTATATAGCAGGTTGGCTATTGAAAACCATGAAAATATTCTTGGCTGTTCATATGTGACTTATGGCAATGTATATTAGGAAATGATCCAAAATATAGAAAAATCATATCAAGTTGCCATACAGTTATTTCTTTCCTCTTTCTGTCCTCCCTTCCTTCCTTTCATATATACATTTATATACTTATTTGTAATAGAGAAAAATTAGAACTGATCTAAATGAGTAATAGAGGAGAATGACGAAGTTTTGATGCATAGATTCAGTAGGTTGTTATGAAGCTATTAAGATTGTTTTGTTTGCTGAAATGTACATCTTTGTACATAACTCTTTGTCCACATTTCTGATTATTTCCCTAGGAGAGAATGTGAAAATGGGGATAGTGAGTCACTAGGTTATAAAAATTTTTTTCTCAACCTGAAAACTCCCCCTGCCATATACTATATAAATAAATTGTAAAAAGTACAGAACTTAAGAAGAAGAAAGTAAAAGTCACTCCAAGGTATGCACATTTCCGTACAAAGCCCATTTTCTAAGCCTGATATCACTGTGTGTGCCTAATGTGCACCTTTCCAGGAGTGAGCGGGTCAGTCTTTTAATTTGAAAACTTCCCTAGACTTATCTGAATTAAAAAAGGAAACTTAACATTTGCTGTCTTCTATCTTCCTCTGTGTTTAGGATGCCTTCTTGTGGAATTATTTAGTTGTAGAATCATGTCAGTAGTTCTCAAGAAAGGAATTAAGCAAGAAAACCTGGCCCCATTTTGAACAAATGTATTTATAAGGAGCGGGAAGGCAGAGTGAATTTATTTTGCATGTGCACCAGAATAAACTACCACTAGATGGCAGTACTCTACAGCCTTGGATTTTAGTTGGTTCTGCCTTTAAGGTATGTTAAGAAATCACCAGTGGAGGAATTTTGAGCCTAAATAATACTTTCCCTTTTACTAAAAATAAATGTAACTTCTTCATGTTGCAGAAAAGTAATGGAGTGGTTTAAAATAAATTTAATTATAATAGGTAACGTCTCAGAATGCTTTTTGCTGTGCTTCTCAAACTTTAAGTTGCATTTGAATCACAATGGGATCTTGATAAAAATACAGGTTCTAACTCTGTAAGTCCAGAAATGGACCTGAGTTTGAATTTCTGATACTCTTCTCAGTGATGCCAGGTCTCAGAGATCTAGAGGTATGTTGCTGTCCTCCATCTACTGAGTACTCTTCTGTACTAGGCACTGCTCTAAATGCTTTACAGGTTGAGTAACTTAAGATATACTAAGCAAATGGTAGAGAAGGGATTCTAACTCAGACTCTCTGCTTCCAGAATCTTGTGGTGTTAACCATACTAAAGTGCTTCCTTGTCTGGGCTGTGAGTAAATTAACCTTCTTCCTAATTCAGAAAAAACTTTCCTATCAGAAAGAGGTGTATCTTGGTTTGGCTGAAGTTAGTGCATAACTTTGATTCTTTGTAGATTATGGACAACATGTTGAGTAACTTCTGGGTCAGATACTTGCTTTTTCCAATTTAATTTTTTTAGTTCGTGCTTTGGTTTCTAAGAAAAATCTTCCCCCAGGCTCCCAATAATCAAAGACGTTATATATGGGAGGGTAATATATGATTTGAAATTAGCGAGTGATTACTGTTTTTTTAACCTTTTCTTTGTTTGCTTGTTCATTATGAAAATATTTCAAAAACACCTTTTATACATTTGCAAAAACTCAAAGGTACATTCCTTTGATGCAGTAGGGTTGGCTTTATGTCAAGTTACATGTAATGTCTATTAATGAGAAAAAATGGTAAGGAAATAGGAAGTCTAGTTTTGTGAACTAGTTGAAGCATATTTGCTTAATATCTTCCATTATTCAGACTACTACCTACAATTGCAGAATTTGTTAAAATTCTTTACATATTATACTTTTTAGGGAGAAATGACTGATATTAATGGCTGTATTGGGCTTTTTTAAACAAAAGGAGTGTGGGAGATGTGTTTGGAGTTAAAAAATGTTTATAGTTTCTCTAATATATGCTTTTTTTAAAGAACACGTGACTGGGTTTTTATAAAAATGGTAGTTTATCTTTGCCTTTTACACTATTGACAATGCTTGCAAAATTTAGTGAGTGGCATAAACATGGACAATCAAATTATAATTTGGGAAGATACTGATCAGTTTTGAAAAGGTAGATTTGAATTGATTTAAAAATGTTATTAAAATTGTTGGAATTTATTTGGTAATCTGAACTCTACTTGTTTTTGAAAAAAGGAACAAAGATATCTCTGCCAGATTTTCCTCTGCTTTTGTTTCATTGTGTCACTACAATAGTGGTGGTTGATATGGCACTTTACCTAGTTAAGATAAGCTTGCCAATTCAGAATTGTATTTCGAAAAGGACAGCATTAATATGGACTGACAGAAAATATGACTGTACAGTGAAGGAAGAATGCTAATGTTTTAAGGTCAACAACTGCAAATACTTAGCTTGGTAAAGTAAGGTACTTTAGTGTATCTAATTT